TATATATATATACACACACAATTATAAATACATACCTAAGTTTTTACCCAAGTGACACGAAAACTTATGTTCATATAAAAGCTTGAAAGTAAATGTTTACAGTAGTTTCATTCATAATTACCCCAAACTGGACACAATCCCCACGTCCCTCAATCGATGACCGATAAAGCGTGGTTCACCACCCGGTGGAATACTAGTCGCCAATGGATCGATCTCACAGTGCTGAGTAGAAGAAGCCAGACCCAAGGCTACATTCTGTAGGATTCCATCTCTGTGACATTCCGGGAAAGACAAAACAGTAGCGACAGAACACAGATTAGTGGTGGCCTAGGTAAGGGGGTGGCTGGCTTCAAAGAGGCAGCCCCTGGGTGTTTTGTCGAGAGATGTTCTGTACCTTGATGGTGGTGGTGACACAGCTACGTGCATCTGTCAAAACTCACAGAACTGCAGCCCCCAAAGTGTGAATTTCATCGTATGTAAATGTGTGTTTTTAAAAATAAAAAAGGACTTACTTTATAATAAGTGGCGTAAAGACCAGCCAACGTGCAGTGTTATAGTTTAAGGGGTAACTTTTATTGTAGAGGCCAGAGGCTTCATGGAGAGGGCGTCTGTGTTGGATGTTAGGGGATGCAGGATTGGGGCTTCCCGGGCGAAGGGAGCACAGACAGGTGAAGGGGCACGAGGTGCCTGTGGCTTCCACCTGCAGGGCAGGGAAGTCAGTGCAGTGCCCGCTTTGGGACACAGGACACTGAGGGAAGGGCCTGTGGTCTGGACTTGGGGTTACAGGTGGAAACAACTCCCAGGCAAAGACTAGTGGCGTTAGGGGTGGGGGTGACTAAAACTTTGGAGAAGGAGGCCAAAAACAAAAACAAAAACAAAAACCAAACAAAAAACCCTGAGTAAAAGAATGGAGTGGACAGTCAGAACAAAACATGTGCCACCCAGGAGTCTTGAGAGATGAAGGGAGGTGGGCCTTGGGTGCCAGGTTCAGTGACCAGGTCCTGGGGCAGGGCTGCAGGAGGAAGGGAGCCAGCGGGCCTCTGGGAGGTCTGGGCCCTAAGTGGAGTTTTTCAGGGAAGGGGCGCAGGGGGACCCACGTGTCCAGAGCAGCAGTGGGGAGAGAGCCAGGACCGCGTGGGAGCCCAGCAACGGAGTGGGAGCCCGGCCACGGCATGGAAGACCGGACTGCGTGGGAGCCCGAGGAGGACGTGAGAGCCTGGGGACAGCGTGGGAACTCGGGGACCGCGTGGGAACCGAGGAGGGCGGGGAGGACGTGAGAGCCCGGGGAGGACGTGGGAACCGGGACCGCGTGGGAGCCCAGGGCCGCTAGGATGCCAGCGCAGGCCGACCGGGTCGCTCAGAAAGAGGGGCCCGCAGCGCCACGCTGCCCGCCCCGCCTCGCCCTCGGTCCTCTCTCTTTCACTGCCTCTTCTCCCTGAGGCTCCGCCCAGGTCCCGCCCCATACCAGCAGAGATCCCGCCTCCTCTGACTGAGTCCAATCGGCGGCCCACTGCCACAAGCGGGGGGCGGGGAGATGCGCCGCTCCTCGAGGCTCCTCCCACGCCCGAACGTCCCGAAGGACAGCCAGGCGCCCAATGGGCTCTCGGGACGGCCGGAGCGGGCAGCCGGTCGGCCAATCCGGAGGCGGCGCGGGCAGGAAAGGCGGGCCTCGGTGACGGACAGGGGAGGAGGTGCCAGGCTGGTTGCTGGTTGCTAGCTGCCGCCGCTCACGCTACGGCCCGGTCGCTTCATTGTCACCTGGGCCTCGGAGCCAGGGCCAGGGTGCGAGGTCGTCAGCCTGAAGCCGGGGCCCCGGGCGTCCCACGCCGGAGGGCCTCGCACATCCCCCGCGGGCCGGCCTCGCAGGCTCCGCGCCCCAGGCCCGGCTCGTGCAGGTGAGGGGGTCCCCGCGCAGGTGACGGGCCCCAGCCCCTGTAGGTGAGGGCTGCCGCGCAGATGAGAGGGGCTCGCGCGGATGAGGGAGTCCGGGGCCCGCGCAGGTGAAGTCTTTCCCCCTTCTCCCCTACCCCGTGCAGGTGTGTCGGGGTGGGGGGCCTGCACCGGTGAGCGGAGTCCAATCAAAGGTCTCGGGTCCCACCACCTTGAGCCAGATCCTTGGGAGACTGGGAGCTGCCCGGTGGAGAAGCTGCCAGGGGTCCTGGGTCAGCCCATCTTGAGGAGTCTGGGCAGAGGCCCTGGACACCCACCGTGGGCTGCTGGGAGAGACATCTTTGTCTGCAAGGTGAGGTCTGGCCTGGAGGTTTCCACGGAGAGGCTGTGTTTACCATCCCGCGTGCTGCCGCTCCCGTGGCTGGGAAAGCTGGCCAGCCTGGGTCCAGCTGGGTGTGGCCAGTGCCCTGGGGAGAGGAGGGTGTTAAATTTCACCCACACGACCGGAAATGCATAACTGAGGACACCGACCTGGTGAATGGCAGGACAGCTCTGTGCTCCAGGCCGGAGAGGCAGGGGCACCTGGCCACGGGGCGCCCCACATGTGTGTGAGGGGGCTGGGGGGCTGAAGGAGGCCGCAGCACTGACCGTGGGTGGTAATGGCGTGTGCCTGTCGGCCCACCAGAGTCCTCGGTGGCAGGGAGGGCTGCCTCTTCTCTGTGGTACCGGCTCGTGCACTCGTCCACTCCTGTTGCTTGAGAGCTTGCCACGTGCCAGGGCCGTGTGGTCCCTGTCCTCACGGAGATAATGTTCTCCGTGAAGGGGAGGGGGTCAGACGTTGCAGACCGCCCATGAGGCAGGGTGAAAGAAAATAAAGCAGGACGAGGGAGCTAAGTGATGGCCCGGTGGCCCTCTGAATAAAGGGGGTGCCTCGTGACATCCCAGGGGAAGAGGCTCCCGGCAGAGGGACCCGCAGGATGGAAACAGTCCGGCCCAGTTTGAGGAGCTGCAGGAAGGCTGGTTTGGCTGAAGCAGAGCGAGGGGTGGCAGTGAGGAGGTCACAGAGAGAGCAGGGTCAGATCTGAGGGGTGTTGGGCATTTAGACTTTATTCTCTGTGCCAAGCGGACCCTCAGAAGGTTTTCAGCAGGGACACAGTGTGATCTGAGACCTGGTGGAGAAACATCAGCCCCGGCCGCCGTGCGGGGAGGGGTCGGGAAGGCGCGGTGCGCTTGTCCGGGTTCAGGGAGAGGGGGCTCAATCCGGGTTGTGGAGGGGAAGGATGTGTGGGGAGAGGGCACAGCTGGCTGGGTTGCTGAGGGAGCAGGTGTGGCGCTGAAGGGGAAGATGTCAGGATGAGGTCGAGGTCCTTGGCCTGAGCCAGTTACAAAGCATGACCCCTGGGGAGGGGGCAGCCAGAGGTGGGAGTCAGGGTTCTGTTTTGGTCTCTCTGGGGCTGAAGCGCCAAATGCACGGCTGGTCATGAGCCAGGAGTTAGGGAACCGAGGGGGCAGGAGCTGGCAGCCGCTGATTGGAGCCGGGAGGCCAGACGAGGTCCCCCAGGGGAGAGGGTGGGTGGAGGAGAGGCTGGGGTTGAGCCCCGGGGGCCCTCCGACTTCAGGGGTGGGAGTGGGGGGGGGGCAGCAAGGAAGGCTGTGAAGGGTGCCTGGTGCCGGGGGGGGGGGGGGGGGGGGGGGGGGGGAACCTGGACACGAGAGGGCAGATGCCACATCGCAGAAGCTCATGGGTTTCTGGAGGTTCCGAGGAAACGGAAGGGGTTCCGTGGCCAGACAAGCTATGGCCCCTGGGTTGGGCAGCGTCAATCAGACCAAGTCCTGGTTTGAACGTGTTGAGTGTTCACGTAGCCGCCTTGTCCACACCTCAGGACGACCCCAGGAAGAGGCACTTTGTCAATATCCATTTTACAGATGAAGGAGGTGAGGCTCAGACAGATGGAGTGGCTGTCTTGGGGTGGGGGATGGGGTAAATGCTGCCTCAGGCCACCCTCAGGCAGGGTCCCTACGGAGAGGTGTCCCTGTGGCCCGGAGCCCTGCTCTGCCACGTGGCTTCTTTTCCCGACAAAGGAGCCCCACCGCCCAGTGAGGAGGGTGGCGGTGGTGTGGTGGTGTGCCGGGAGGCCTGGTTCCTCAGAAGGCATCCCCCTGCACCTCTTCTTGCCTGCTCAGGGCCCTTGCAGCCTCCATGAAGGGCTCCCGGGCCGCCAGCGCTCCCTCCGGCCCCCCCGAGGGCAGCCCAGAAGGTGTGAACCTGAGCCTGACGGGCCTCCCTCCGCCTGTGTCCTGGCGCCCCAACAGCGCCTCCGCCGCCAAGCCTATCGCCCGCTCCTTCTCCGCGGTCTCGGGCAGTGAGCCAAGGAGGAAGGCACTGGTGAGTGCTGGGGCCGGAGGTGTCCAGGGCCGGCGGGGGCTCCAGCTCACAGGTCGGAGCGATCTCCCCAAGAGGTCAAGGCCAGGGTCGGTCGCCGGTCTGAGGCAGAACCGAAATCACCAGCCTCTCGGCCCCTCTCGCTCCGCCAGCTTTAGGATTTGGGTCCTCAAGAAGCAGGGTGACCTTGGGAGGGTGGGGGAGATAAGCCCCCGGCGGCCTTGAGGAAAGCCCGGTGGGCAGGCGGGCGGCAGGCGCTGCGGCGGAAGCGAGCCCACCACGTTCCCTGGGTAGCCGGTGGTGGGGAGGACGAGGCCGGAGGACGAGGCCAGGCAGCCTCTGCCGAAGCCCCCATGCCAAGCCTCACGTACTTCCTCCCGGACCCTCACCAGCCAGGGGTGAAGGGTGCCCACTTCATCCAGGAAGACAGGGCTTCTAGAGGCTTCCCGCGGCCATGCCCGGGACCCTGCACTGCTCTCGTCCACGAGAGCCGGGAGACCCTTCTTGCCACGTCCACCCGCTCGCCCTGAATCTGTTCTTCCAGGCCTGGTGCGGCTCGGGGTGAACTGGTGAGTGTCTGAAACCCACGGGGACGGCTGTTTCTTCCTTTCTACAGGAGGCCACAGGGCCCGGAGGTTCCCGAACCATCAACAACCTTCGCAGATCTAACAGCACCACGCAGGTCCACCAGCCACCAGCCGGCCAGGCGTGGACCGGCCCCCTCAGGTGACCCCTGCCCCCTCTCAGGTGACCCCTCCCCCTCCCCCTCAGGTGACTCCCAGCACACTCCTCTCCTGCCTCTGTCAGCCCTTCTTCCAGCCCCACAGCTTGGCCACAGGCTGGGCAGCGGGGCCTGACGTGACCTGCACCCAGGCCAATGCTGCAATGGGCAGGCGGGCCGAGTCTTGACCCGTCTTATCTGCGAGTAGAGATGCGGACCCCAGGCCAGCACCCCCCATACCTGCTTCTTTCCCTTTGTCCCTGCTGCACTCTTCCCGTGGGTGTCGGGGTGGCCGCGGCCTAGGGTGTGAGCATCTCTCTCAGGCACGGTTGTCACATTATGGCTAAGAATCGACAGTTAAGCTGTTGGCTTGGGAACAGAATTCCCTTCCGGTGACCCGGCCCCTCCCGGCCCCTCGGAAGACGTGCCCGTCTGTGCTCCTGGAGCCGACCCGCCCAGACGGAGTGACTGTCCCTGCTTGGCATCCTGTCTCCGACACAGGCCAGCCGAGGACCCCCACTTCCTGACACTCTTTGAGGGCAGCCCTGGTGGGAAAAAGAGGCTGACCGGTCTAAGCAAGGCCCCCAGCGAGAGGGGAGCCACGTGGAATGTCCTGGTAAGGGCCAGGGGCTGAGTCTAAGTGTCCCTTCAAGACTGACACCCGGTTCTTTGCTGTGGCCGCACCTGTGGGAGGGGCCGGCAGCAGGGAGGGGGTCCGTGTTAGCTCCCCATCCGTGTGTGAGGCAGTGGGGGACCTGCCCGGGGCCTGGGGTCCGCGGCCTGTGCAGCACATCACGGTCTGAGGTGGCGTCAGTGTCCTCGACAGGATGACCACCCCAGGGCCTTCGACTCGCCACCCGACTCCGGGAGTCCTGGCACCCTCAGCGCGCCGGTGGGCCCACGGAGGAGAGAGTGCACCGTCCCCCTGGCCCCCAACTTCACTGCCAACAACAGGTGGGACCTGAGGCGGGTGCCACACAGGGACCCCAACCGCTGAAGCGCCTGGGGACTGAGTGTCTTATTTGTGGCCCTGTGCTTTGGAATGAATGACTGAGGGCACAAGTGACTGGTTTTCTCCACCCAGGGGCCCGGGGGGGCGGGGGGGAGGCCACGGGGTGGCACCTTGCACCCGGGGAAGGAAGCCATGGGGTGGCACCTTGCACCCGGGGGCTCTGCTGGCCCAGGGTTGCTCGCCCAGGGCTCCTGCAGGCCTCCATCCGCCCTCTCCTCTGTGGGGCGGCCTGTCTCCCCAGGACCCGAGACGCCCGGCTTAGCTCTTGAAGAGGTCGGAGTAAGGCTCAGGGGAGGTTCTTGGGCCTCCGGGAGGGGTGGAGCAGGCGGACTCGGGCGGGCCCTGCTCACTGGGTGCCGAGAGCTGGTTGGTGTGCAGGCCGCACCGCCCACGGCAGGACGGAAGCAAACACGTGCAGAGGGATGGCCACGACGCTGGGGTCTGCAGAGGGCTAGGCAAGCTGGCCTTGGTGGTGGGGCTGGTGGCCGGTGGTTGTCAGGGTGGGCAGGGGGCCTGGAGAAGCCGCCAAGGAATTCAGGGTCGGCACAGCCGCCCTCGGCTGCAGAGCCGGTCCCCCTCGCTCTTGGCCTCAGGGGGACCAGTGGGCAGAGGGACAAGGACATACATGTGCCTCAGCGCAAGAAAGAACTTCTTAACGCCCAGAACCATGCATCAGAGGAAGAGTCTTGGACCGTCTACCAGAGTCAGCACGGGAAGATTCTTCCTTTTGATGCAAGAATTTAAATTAACATTAATTTTGGAGGCACCTGGGTGGAATCAGCCGATTCTTGATTTGTGCTCAGATCACGATCTCATGGTCGTGGGATGGAGCCTGCTTGAAGTTGTCTCTCCCGCTGCCTCTCCCCCTGCCCCCCTCCCCTGCTCACACGCAGGCGCACTCCCTCTCTCTAAAAAAAACTTTTTAAATTTTAATTTCTGTCAGTGATGCATGCGCACAGCTAAATAGCAGAGCAGTGGGAGTGCCTGGAGGGCTCAGTCGGATAAGTGGCCGACTTCGGCTCAGGTCATGATCTCACGGTTCGTGGGTTCGAGCCCCACGTCGGCTTCTGTGCTGACAGCTCAGAGCCTGGAGCCCACTTTGGATTCTGTGTCTCCTTCTCTCTCTGATCCTCCCTGCTTGCTCTCTCTCTCTCAAAAATAAATAAAGATGAAAAAAAATGCTTTTAAAGCAGAGCAGCACCACACACTTAAAATAAAAGCAACAAACCCACTACCCCTTCCCCCAGAACTGAGTCCTGCTTCCCGGAACCAGCTTTCTTTCTTTCCTTTTTTTTTTTAACGTTTATTTATTTTTGAGAGACACAGAGAGA